TTTTATTCTTCTACTTTTCCCTCCGATCCTCCCTTTTCTTCTCATTCTCTACATTCTCCTTCCCTCTTTTCTTTTCTTTCTTTCCACCTTTCTCTTCCTAATATGTCTTTCCCCCCTATCTTTCCTTATTGGTCTCTCTCTTCTCTCTCCTTCTCCCTCTTACCACCGTCCTTTCTTCGCATCTTCCCATCTGTCTCTTTCCTTTTCTTTCTCTTCCTATCCCTCTCCCTCTAATCCTTAATTTCCCTTTCTTTCCATCTATTATTCTTCGTCCCTTTTTCCTATTCCACTCCTCCCTCTCGCCCTCCCTCTTTCATTTTTTCTCCAATTCTCTGTCTCTCTCTGTCTCTCTTCCTCATACACATTCTTTCTCTCTGTCTTTCTTCCTCTTCATCTCCTTCTCTTTCTCCCTCTCACCCGCACCCTTTATTTCTTTCCATCCCTCTCTTCCTTCCTCTTTCTCTCCTTCTCCGTCTCCCGCTCTCCCCTTCTCTCTACCTATGCATCTCTCTCTCCCTCTTTCTTTGCCTTTTCCACTTCCTTTCCTTCTCCCTCACCTTCTTCCTTTTCTTCCCACCCTCTTGCCGACAAAGGGAATGCCATGGAAAGAGTAGCAGTGCAAAAGTATTTCTTAAAATGGAAGAAGTTTAAACTTTTGCCTTGAGAGAGAGAGAAAAAAATAGATATTGGACTCTACCCAGACTTTGCTTTTCCGTGCCTTTGCCTCCGCGAGTCGCCGGAATAATTCATCGTTGTGAATCAGGAAAGACTGTATCGGCAGTGATTGCTTGCGTGAGTTAGAGGTCATTTTTCAGCCCTTCCCGGGGAGTGACGCTGTAATTATACTGCACGATATATTGACCACACTGTATACTCATTGGAACTTACTCTGTGCTCCCGGCAGAACTTTGGGTTGTGGGGGAGAATTTATATCCATATAGTAATCAATGGGAACACCGAGTGCTGTAATTCACTGAGAAAGGTGTCCCTAAAGAATAACTTACATTGTAATCACCCAAGATGTAACAAGACAGATTTACATTAAGTGATAAACCAGACCCTTGAAGAAAGTAATCATAATGAACTCGCTGGATGTTAAGAAAAAATATACATATACAATAAATCAATAATCAAATACAAGCACACAAACGTTCGCACACGCGCGATGCCTATTTTCGCTACCCTACTTCGCCTACAGACCCTAATGAGCCAAGGCGCTCGCATTACCACTACCACAGTGTCTTTCATACACTCAAATGCAGACTTAGAAATCAAGGGAAATGCCAGATAACGAACGCCATATACAACATCCACCCAATATAGCATAACATAATCCACGTATACCAGCAAAGCCAGCCAAGGCAGCCTCTCCCCCTATGCGAAGGAGCGACACTCGACTTACACTGAACATTCAGCCTCAGCGGGACGGGAACAGGGACGGGGAGGGCCGGGTGCCGCACCACGCACGCCACGCTGCTGTTGTGCAGCTCCTTCTCCACGCTGGGCAGCGTCAGGTTACTGGTGCTGTAGAACACACCTTCCTCGGCACGCCAGTCGTTCCGCATCTGGAAGGGGTGTGCAAGTGGGCGGTCTTTAGAAATGGGCGTTTTTTTGAATGGGTACTTTTTGGATACGATTTTTAAAATAGTTTTCTTTTAATTGGGATATCTTTGAAACTAGTAATTTTTGATAGTTGTTTTTAGAACTAGAAACTTTTTTGGAATTGGGTGTTTTTGGGAAATGCGATGAAAAGATGTTGTTGGGATCACACATTCTTATTTCTTAATATTAGAAGGATATTTAATGCAATCTATCTTGAAATAAAAGTAAAATATGAACAAGAACGTGGGAAAGGCTCATTCCAGTGGTTAGTTCCGATGACCTGAAAAAGGGAATAACCCACGTCGATAATTCTTAATCAAGAAAAAACCTCGGAAGCAATTTATCAAGACCAGGAAACAGCTATTAATTAAAACTCCTCGTCAACAGGTGTGAGGGACAAGAAAAATGCGAGAGAGAGAGAGAGAGAGAGAGAGAGGGAGAGGGAGAGGGAGAGGGAGAGAGGAGAGAGGGAGAGGGGGAGAGGAGAGGGAGAGAGAGAGAGAGAGAGAGAGAGAGAGAGAGAGGGAGAGGGGGAGAGGGAGAGAGGGAGAGAGGGAGAGAGGGAGAGAGGGAGAGAGGAGAGAGAGAGAGAGAGAGAGAGAGAGAGAGAGAGAGAGAGAGAGAGAGAGAGAGAGAGAGAGAGAGAGAGAGAGAGAGAGAGAGGGGGGGGGGGTTGAGAGAGGGAAAAATAAGAGAAAATGATGAAGAGAGAGACCGTGAGCGACAGAGTAGCACATACCTGGCTGGAGGGCGAAATGTCCTCCCCGCCGAGCACCCAGGCGATGGAGGGAGCCGGGTTCCCTCCTTCCACCACGCAGTTGAGTGTGATGGAGTTTCCCTCCCGAGTCGTGAGCCTCCCTCCAGCCGCCAGCCGCGCGTCGCCATACTCCAGGTACGGCCTCTCGGGGGGAACTGCGGAGGAGCGTCGGAAGGGAACGCCTTTTAGGAGCGAACGAGTGGAAGGGCACGGGGGAGGGAGAGGGATGCTACATACAAAAACTCTATCTATCTATCTATCTATATCTATATCTATATCTATATCTATATCTATCTATCTATCTATCTATCTATCTATATATATACATATATATATACATACATACATACATATATATGTGTGTGTGTGTGTGCTTATGTATACATATGTACGTACATATATAAACAGATAGAAATGGATGGACTGATAAAGAAACAGAAACGGAAATTCATTCAATATTGATCTATGATCACTGTAAATTTCACTCTGAAGGACACCAACTCTCAAGGAAAAGGCCTGAAAAGGAAGGTTGAGGAACGTTTGGACATTTTCTGAGAAAACGAGATTGAAATAGAAAATAGAGGAAAATTGGGAACTAGAACAGAATTGAAATAAAAACATTCAAACTTACGTCCTCATACACAAGGAAAAGTAGTTATAGCAAGTCATTTACATTGCATCCGATGTTCGTCCTTCTTCCTAATTATCTATCTCTTACGCCCTTAAAATAAAAAGAACACAAGTAAAAAGAGAAAGAAAGAAAAAAAAACGACAAAGGCAATCTCAAGACACGAGTCCCGCGAGATCTAGCCATTTTAATCTGGCATAAACACGCTTGTGAATTAAAAGTCAGTTAAGGTTTATGTCCCATTGTCTGAGATTAAGTTCAGCCGATGGTTCCACGGAGGCTAAACAATTGGAACCTGAGATAAGATCCTTAAGCCTGTTTGCTCCGCTCGCCTGTCCGCGCTCGCTTGATTGTGCGGCGCCTTCCTTGCTTGAGTCTCTGAAGACATCTTGCTCTGCTGTTGCGAGAATTGGTGCCGTATTGTGTATATTTTATCCCGGTCGGTTAGAATACACGTACAGATACATACATATACGTATAAAGATATATATAAACACATATATTCATACTGTTATTATCACTGGTGTTACAATTATCATCATTACTATCATCCTCATTATCTTCGTTATTATCAATTTTATCACTATTTATTCTATACCCATTCAATTTTGCGAGAGGCAGTAACAACAGGCGAATACTCTAATAGTCTAACTAACGCACTTCCGGGATATTGGTCTCTCATTTACATATTGAGGGTCTGAATCCCTATACTCATTGCAGTTCGTAGTGCGGTAATAGAACAGGCTAGTGTGCGTATCCCAGCTTACTGCCTACTGTCGGTTGTTCAAAACAAGTATTGATTAATATTCAGAGGATGGCCGGAATTTTAGTCAATTCCTCGTGAAGCTGCGTATTTGTGAAGCAAACAAAAATACGATACTGTACTTTCACCATGGCAGTTAAACGTGGGGCCAATATACCGTAGACTTTTATATTTTAAAACTATTGTCTATTCTAATTTCTGGTAAGATTTGCTTAAACGCACGCTCGCACGCACACACACACACACACACACACACACACACACACACACAGAGAGAGAGAGAGAGAGAGAGAGAGAGAGAGAGAGAGAGAGAGAGAGAGAGAGAGAGAGAGAGAGAGAGAGAGAGAGAAAGTGTCCGTACGACCACCACATTAAGAGGGCTCCTGCGCCCAACCTACTTGTGACGACCAGCCTCACTTTGGGCCCCTCGCGCCCTGATCGCCGGCACCACCACACGCCGGAGTCCGCGGACACCGCGTGAGACATCACCAGTCGACCTGTCCACATGATCGACATCCGCAAGTCACCCTTAATCTGAAATATAAAATGATGAAAATTGTTGAGGTTGGTTTTATAAGAAAATATAATCAATTTTAAAGTTAATAGTCCTCCTTGCCCCTCACTCTTACTCTTTTTATTCTCCATGATTTTGTCTCCTTTCTTTCAGTTATGCTTACTCACTCACATTCCGTCATTTACACTCTTCGTTTCCCCTTCTCCCTCTGGCGCACGAAACTCATGCATTTCTGCCCTCTCTCCTTTCGTCCAAATGTTTCCCTATCCTTATCCCTGTCTCTCTCTCTTTCTCACAGATCATCCCCTTTCCTCCTCCTCCCTTCGTCGTCCTCTCTCACACAAACGACTCCCTCTTCTCCCCCCCCATCCCCGCCCTCCCCATCCCACCCCCCTGGGCCTCACCTGCGAGCCATCGTGGTACCAGCGCACCTCGCCCTCCACGCTGTCGTCGCCCTCCACCACCTTGGCATCCTCGGACACCACGCATTCGAACACCACCTCCTGCCCGCGCACGACGAGCTCCTCCTTCAGGCCGGCACTCGGGTCCGCCTCGTCCTCGAAGAGCAAGTCGACGGGGTTCTCCGTGGCGTTGTTGATTCCGCCGAGGGCTACCCCGGCGGAGAGGCCTAGGCTGCCCGCCGCCGGCTCACCACCGCTTTCCCGCCGACCGCTGTGTCGTAGGTAACGCACCTCTGGAGAAGTCGGAGAGCAGTCACCATTAATAAGGTGGCAAT